TTACTTTACGGCCGCCATGTTTGTGTCCCTCCGAGGGGCACAAACATGGCGACACCATACAAAGCTCTATAAATTTGAGTGAAACACTTTTCTGAATAATGCGTGAATGGAAAACCGTACAGACTTAAAACTTGGCGAGGTTATTTATATATCAATCATCTTTCATATCTCAGCTTCTTGACTTAATTTATTGAATAGTTACGATTTTTATTTTTGATGGCGTGACACTGCAAACCAGCCATACTGCCAGAATTTTGTGGCCTGTTGGTGACTGGAATAACAGGGTTCCACTTTACTCATTTTGGGGGCAAAAAGTTACCAGCAAGTCATAAGTGCTGAGGTATGTTAGTGTTGGAAAGCATAGAACCTTGAATTAACTGGCAACATAACATCTAGTTAGGGAACAAGCAAGTTTCCCCTGAGTAATTTGATTAGTTGTACCTCCTACACATTGTGTGGTGCCAGAGAAATTATATCTGCATATGTGGTTTGTTCAGAGCCACCTTAATTTTTCGAAACTTTAAGGTGGCTCTGAACCTACTTGACAGAATTTTTTTAAACTTTGCAAAAGTTGCATCTTATCACGCTTATCACAATTTAATAATAAAAAGTGGGGGTCACCAAGTTCGTTTTTGAGTTACAAGCTTAAAGCTCAAAATAAGGGGTTTTATAGCAGGTCACATTGTTGCTATGGTAACCTGTTATATAGACAGCAACTTGTTTACCAATGATAGGGCATTTATATGATACCATTAGTAAAGCATCACTTGTTAAACAGTGGCAGTATTCATCCTTCAAGGTGTAGCTGTTAGAAAAGTACTGCGCCTCCTCAAATAAATCAGTGTACATATTTTCTTTGGGATATTTTCTATAGGCGAATCTTTGCCGACGTCATTGTTTACATTTTTCCTCATTAGCATACAACTTTGCGCATAGAAGGCATCATGCTAGACACGATTTTACCAGAAAAACGTAAAGAGCTTGTGAAACTTAATAAGTGGTGAAATTTTTGGCTCTTTGGGTGTAATATTCGAGGAGAAATTGGCTTTCAAAAACATCAAAATTTCTGTGTGGCAAAAGCGCTTATGAGCTCATACATTCTTTGTAAAATTTTGAGTTTTTAAACCCTCGTCGCACAAAAAGTATGCAATACATTGCGCTCAAATTCCTTGGAACAGTTGATCGTGCTGTGCCCTTTCAATATTCAGTATTAATCTCTTTGTAGCTCCATCAGAAACTGTATCGCTTATGGTAATGAGGCAAATATTGTAAACAAAGATTCTCCTATTGCAATGTGTTGGTAACATACTAGTTTGTGCTCTTGTGAGCACAGATGGCAACATACCGGTTGCTTCAGTAAGATGGGCACAAGATTAATTTCTTGAAAATTCTTTTTAATTCTAGCAGTGCTAAGTTTTGTTACAAACAAAGATGTGCAATATAAATAGGCTAAATTCTGTCAGTAATAAATATAGTACATAAATTCAACAAGAATTTTTTTTGTAATTATTGTATGTGTTACAACATTGAAAAGAAGCTAACAACCATTACAGACTTCATACAACAAATGCAACAACTGCAGAGTAAAAAGAGTAAATGTAAATATTTTACATTGACTATAGAAGACAAAATTTTTGTTCCTCAGTTATTTCTTTATGGTCTAAAATATTTGAACAGACTTAATACATCTTCATTGAAAATAAATTATAAATATTAATAACCTAATTCTAACTTGAAAACCCCTCAAAAATAACTGAATATTTTGACATTCTTTTTGTACAAAATTATACTCAATAAATAGTGTCATGTCTGACAATTTGTTTCGTAGTTTAGCACAAAAATTCTATGTTCAAAAATTTATAAAGTTAGCCTTTTTCTAAGGGTAAAATTAACTATCATACAATTGTGTGATGAACTTGCATTTTATCCATTGCGGATGGGGTGGGGGGTCCACTTCATCCTATAGAAATCAGAGATGAATGCTGGGCTGGTACTTCATTTAAGCTTGTTGGCAGGTAGCCTTAGTGTAGCCGAGCCCATCCCCTCCATTTTAACTTGGAAGGAGGTGACGTACAGTTCCATGCAGGCAGGCTAAACAAATTTTATAATCTCAGTGAGGTTTTCTCTGAGAAGTTCTCGCAACCCTCAAAACATTTTGAAGTAAAATATCAAACACGAAAGACCTTGTTTGACCACATGTCAAGGTGCTGAGTTAAGAGAGTTGAGAATACGATGAGCAGCAGAGTATTTTTGAGGAACTTCAAGGTGTTTGGAAATGTGGTCAAACACTGTCTTTGAGTGTTTGATATATCTTCTCAATTGAAACTAAACCAAAGGAGAAAACATAGAAATAAAATCATAAAAATCTACGCTAATTAAGATCAGATATACAAACACCATCACAGTCATTATTTCTTTTGTTTAAACTTAATGAATCATTAATGAGTTTGAGAAGTACGATGCAACTGATCTTACAAGAATATTGCCTTGTGCATTGCTGCATAAAAATATTTTGTGGAGCATCATGTCTCCTAATTTCTCAGTAATATTTCTTTGTGGTTAGAGCTGAAAAAGCCAAGTGGTAAGAATATTTACATTTAAAACTACAATAACGTCAACAACCAATTTCAAGAACAAGTAACAAGATCACAGAGAGGTGCACAATCTGTACATGCGAAAAGCCACTTCTGTAAGGCAGGAGAGCAATCATCTTTAAATTCTTTTTATACATTTACTGTGAAACTCAGAAAACCACCAACACCAGAAATATTTATGGAATGTCTGTGTTGCAAGGAAAGAGCCAATAAGGCATGAAAACTAACCCAAAGACAGCAACGGTAATGAGTTTGTGGTTTTGAGGTTTGTCCATGGGCCCTGAACTTTATTGTGATTGCTTTGTGCACAATTCAGCTGACAGAACCCAATCAAAGTGTTCACGGTGCTTTGAATCACAACATAAGGCTGCCTTAGAGAGTATGATATCTGCTTGTGATGTGTGACGCATGTTATATCTTCATCTGTACTACATCTACAACTTGACTAGTTATGATTTACTAGCTACTTTGTTATTATAACAAAGTTAGGTATGTGTAAATCAAATCTGAGCCATATTGCAACTTAAGTCTCACAAAAGACATGTCATAATTACCAAAAATTACACCATCCGACAGCCATCGAAGATATTATTATACACTTGTTCTTAATCATCTTCAAAAACATCATCATTCTCATCATCATCTTCCACATCGAACAATTTTGTGTCATCAACGTCATCTTCTTCACCCTCCTTCTCCTGCACAACCTTTTTACCTTTGCCTCCATGAGTTCTGAGGTGTTTACTTAGGTGATCGCTCCGGCCAAAAGCTTTGTTGCATATCGTGCACATGTAGGCCTTCTCTTTTGTGTGTATTCTCAAATGACGCTGCAGTTCATCTGACCGAGTAAAGCTCTTCCCACATCGACGAGCACCAGTATTCTAAAAACAAAATAGAAAAATCAAATCTATCATTGAACAAGTGCTGATTCTGTCTCTTGGAAGCAGGCTCCACATTGGGAAAAAGAGAAAAATTAGGGGAAGTAAAGCCTGCATTCATCCTGACTTAAAAATGGTTACAGGAGACGTGAAAAATTGTTAAAGTGAATAGGACTCTTTGCTCTACAGAGATGTCTGCTTAACACAGTTTATTACAGAAACAACACTTATCACAGTCTGAAAATATGGGAAAATTAGAAATGTTTGGGCCTTTCTGAGGTTGGTGTCTGCTTTTTATGAGGTCTGTTCAATTATTAAAGTTTCACATTAATCATGCCAGAATAATGTCAAGTACTGACTCACCCAGTTACACACAAATGGTCTCTCTCCTTTATGCCAACGTAAATGAGCCTTCAAGTGAGAAGTCTTTCCATAAACCTACAACAATAGAATGAAGAAAAGGATTACCTGAAAAAGGTCTCCTGAAAAACGTGCATGTGAGGGTGTTTGCCCAAGAACACCACATAATGTCAATGTCCCCAGCTGGGGTTTGAACCCAAACTGCTAGATCTGGAGTCCAGCAAACTAACCAAAAGGCCACTGTACCTCTGACTAAGCAGATTCAAATGATGCAAAGATCTGTACCCTTCTTTATTTTATTTTATATTTTTGGTGCTGAAACCTACCTTTCCGCAGCCAGGGTAATGACAGCTGTGTGACTTTTGCTGCATATTTCCTGACCCACTGTTTAGACCACTGATACAGTTTGGACAGACACAATGGGAACGTCTCTTGTTAAACATTTCATTTCTTTGGCCTAACAAGATAAAAAAAACCTTCAACCTTAACATGAAATGAACAACGAGAAAAATGTTCTTTATTCTCAACACCTGTCTGGTTTATATCAAAGTGATATCGTTAACTAAAGGAAATAGGGATAAATCTGAATTTTATCACTTGCTGACCCTAACGCCTTCTACTTTTCACTGGTGAAGCACATTATTTATGGAAAAGGTTGTGAAATTATTTGTAGAAGACATCTGGGTACAGTACCTGGATATGTACTATTTTATCATTTATGTCATTTAGTCAGAGTTGGCGTAAACCCAGCCACTTTGTGGAATAACAATGCGAATGAGGATTTTCTACATGAAATAAAATTCTTCATGAAATGTTACAGAGCCCCTTAAGTTCAATTTGCACACTTTCATTACCTTCTAGTTTTGGATTCTTTTTTCCTGTCATGATATTTCCATGGTCAGGGTGAATCTTTGCCACTAAATTGGACAAGTTTGCAATGGGAGATGATGGTTCCATTACCAAGGAGGTATCATTCAATGTCCTCTTGTTTCTCATGTGCACAGGCTTTTCAGCTTGAAGAAGTGGTGTTTCTTGGTTAGGACAATTTTGCCAAGTTTTCATTTGACCTGTTGGTTCTGGGTAACAGTATTTTTTATCTTCATGGACGTTGTTCGCAGTGGTCTGAAATCTACATTGTCCAAAAATCATTTCTGGATTGACAGGCATCAACTCTGTGCAGTCCTTAGTCCCCTCAAGGTCACGGCCATTGCAATATGAGCTAACCACAGTTTTAGGAAAGTAAAATTCTCTTTGATATGCCTGACTTCCCCTCGGAAAAGTCATGTTTGTTGTATTATGCTTCTCTGGTGTAATGCTAGAATTTTCATTCACAGAGAAGTGCTCAGGCTGAGTATAGTTCAAATTCCATCTTGTGTTCTCATCATATTTTATCACACTTGGATTAAATGTTTCACCCCTTATACTCTGAAATGCAAACTTCTTTTCAGCATTATCAGACACAAGTCTTTGACATGATTTTTGATCATCAGCCATCCAATGTCCATTCTGTGCTTCTCTATCAAAGTTCACCATATCTAAGCAGCCATTGTTATTTGACTCAAATCTTTGACTAAAATACTTGAAACTTGCTTCAGGGTGGCAATCTGATTTCATTTGATACTTTGAAAGATCTGCGTTGTAACCACTGCTACAAACAGGTGCAAGGCCAAATTCACGTGCAAATGAATTCGTCTTGGTGTTCAGTCCTGCTGAAGGGATGGTTTGAAAGACGTTTGGACGGAAAGCCACATGGTTCCTCTTCCCAGGAAGATTTCCGTGACTAAGTCGTACAGGAGATTTGGAATGAGAATCTCTGCAACAACATGACATTTTCTTGCAGTTACAAGAAGACAGAGGACAAGAAATGTCCACACGGATACTCACAGTCGGACACAATGGTTGCGGAAAATGATTCACAACCTTGTTTGGTGGAATCAGTGATGGTTCAGTTTGTGCCTTGGAATATGGACTCCTGGAAAATCTTAGATTTTCAGGTAAACTGGGCCGTATTTCTTGATGCCATGGAAACAAATTTTCATTCAAATGGGATGTGGGATAATTCCCCTGTGGATTGGATACCATACTCTTCTTAGCTTCACAGGCAGAATATTCAACTCCTTCATTGTAAAAGCAGTGCCGTGTGCTTGGTGTGACTTTGGGGCTACTTGAAGTGGAATAATGTGTTAAAATGCTGCCACGACTGGCTGCTGTGCCAGATGGGGACACACAGCCATAAATTGGATTGTCTTCACAGCAGTTGCTTGAATGAATAAATTGCGTTTCAGTAGCAATTTCTGGGATGTACGTTTGGAAGTCCTCATAGCAAGCCCGTTCAAAGCTTGACATCTGAAGATTCCCGGAAGAAGAATTTGTTCTGATTTCACTGCGACACTCGGCCGTGTAGTCGATCTTTGAGAACTGCTCGCAAGACGGTGCTCCTTCGGGTTTACCGGCGAAGAAAACTTCTGCTGATGGCTTGACCTGCTCACTGCAAAAAGAGGACAACGTTTTTCTCAAAGAACTACTCTCATCTTTCCTGCGCGGCGTCTTTCTTTCAGATGCCAAGTAACAAATGCCTTCACACTCGCGCTCACACGAGACGAAGTTTGGAGATAATTCCATCACTCCAAAGAACTTTCAGAATGTTAGATTCTGGCTGAAAGTACCATTCACTGAGCTAGTAGCCACACGAGAAACTGTGATGTTACAATAATGGTAAATAAATAAGACATCTTCGACGAAAGGTTAGCGAACGAAACCTTTCACCTTTGTAAAGCGTCTCGGCTAAAATATTTTAGCTTGAGGGCTTTGGTTATTTATAAATCAAGACTAAGGATTAATTACGGGCTTTGTTACCCCATACTAAAAGTTCTTTAACTTTGTGCAAATGAAGTTTGAATAGAGCATAAGGACAATGCTCTTATTGTTTTAGTGACTTACCTGTTAATTTTTGTTCTCTTGAAAATTATTCTTTGCAAAGCAGTTTGAACAATAGCGAGCTGGACTCCATCGCGTCCCCAGTGAATTGCTTGCGCTTGTGCGGGGAATAATTAACTACCACTGGATTACTAAATCCTTGAAAGCGAGCTAGTGAGCTGGGTATGGATTAAATAAGATTCCATTAAAGTAGTTTATAAACCAAAGATGTTGCTTTTCAGTCGACAAATCCATTTCCACTCACTTTTCCTTGCAAATCTCGCGGGAATTTACACCATGAGCCCACGTGCATTCTCTATTTCTGCCAGCGACTTCGCCTCGTTTCCAGATTTCCTCGGACTGAATCGTAGGTACCCCAAGCTCCCCCAAGCTCCCCCAGCCTCCCACAACCTCCCCCAAGCTTCCCTTAAACGTCCCTTTCCTTGTTTCCGGTGAGGTTCCTAGGCCGATTCCCAAATCGGCCAAGAAACCTCACCAGAAACAAGGAAACACACACCTGAAGCGAGGTACGTTTATATTTAAGAATTAGTTCATACTTAGCGTGCGTATATCGAGTTATGGATGCACGCGGGAAGTTTGGAGAGCACGAAAGAAGCGTAAGAGTTGCTCGAGGCGACAGCCGAGAGCAACTTTAGCTTCTTGAGTGCTCTCCAAACTTCCCAAGTGCATCCATAACTCGATATAAGCACAGCAAAAAGCATGAAACAATTCTTTTATAACATGGCGACAACAACTTGGGTGTTAAAACATGTTTTATTTGTGATTGACTACAAACTTCTCACAATTCACGGTGAAGAAACACAAAGGTCATTAGGATCTTAACACGCCACAATCTGTTGAGCAACGGTTGACTGAAAACGCTTAACCTGGTTTCTAAAATTGTCAATGAAAAATTCGTTTCTTCGAAATTAATATAATATAATGAATTAATATAATGAATATGTAGGCAGACCAAGTCAAAAATACTCGATGAAAATGTAGACAAACAAAGTCAAACTACTCACGTTTAAGTAAACATCTTAGCTTGATAAAAGTCAAAGGCTCGAAGTAGAGTTCGGATTGTTCAGAATAATCTTCACAATGCCGAAACTTAAACAAAAGGAAATTGCACTAAACTCGACGGAAATTTTGCAGCTGAAATGAAACTGCACACGTCATTTTATTGAGCACGGCCGTGCGTACATAAAGATTTTTTACCACGATGGCTCAATAGGAATTAGATAGGACCAGCGCGCGCGCTATGTTATAAAACCGTTTTTCCCATGCAAATCCTTGTAATTTCCACTGTTGCGTAACCATTCAGTAGACTCCCGATAACTCGAACCTTCAAGGGAAAATGAAAAAGATTCGAATTATCGGGAGTTGAGTACAAATGAGCGAAAAAGGAAAAAAAACGGTGTTTAGAATGTTTTTCTATTCGTGCAGTGTACATTTTAATCAAATGTAATTACAAAATAGAGAAGTCGAGTGAAAATAAAACAATACATCTCTAAATTACTGTATAAATGGGAACGTAACGTAATTTGAAAAATATAACAAAGGAAAGCAGCAGGGAGGTGTCCAGGAACAGTGAACTGTACAGGTTTAAAGAGAACAATGTCAGGCTACTGGTACAAAGCTCAGGCGATTTCCTTTTTCTTTTCATGCAGTGTACATTTTAATCAAATTTAATTATACAGTATAGGGAAGCTGAGTGAAAATGGAACAATACATCTCTTAAAATAGAACAATACATTTCAAATTAAATTTAATGTTTTGGACTACAGTACACTATTTGTTTCGATTTGTCACTTATTGACAGACATGGTAGGAGTTATCGAGGGTAAAACTGTATGGAAAATGACCTGAAGGGAAACGGAAATTGCTTCGAGTTATCGGGAGGTTCGAGTCATCGAGGGTTCGAGTTACCGTACCGAGGGTAAAATTACAGTAAATGTATGACGGAAATCCAGGGGAAAATCGATTTTGGTTCGAGTAGCGAGGATGTCAGAGTGTAAAACCCAAATCTATGAAATGGACCAAAAACGAAACACAAATCTGTGGGCGAACCAGTTAGTAATGGCCATTCTTTTATTCGCTCGGCTTAGGGCTGGGGGGAGGGGTGGAAAACTTCTAAGTACCCCTAAATTCGCCACTGCAAGTTCTAAGGAGTGGAATGGAAATGATGAGAGTAGTCCAGGAAAGGATCAAGGACTTGCATGTTGACTGATGTTTTGATAATGCTACAAGTTCCCAGGCCTAAACCAAACTGTGATCTGGCGTTCTTTTTTTTTGGATAAACAAGAGTGTCTGATCGCAGGCTACTGATCAAGTTCTGCAGGAGC